CATGAGCTTAATTTCTTGGAGTACTTTTACTATTGCCACTCTATAGAGAAGAGTTTTTCTTAGCCAAGGAGCAATGATTTGAATGAAGAATAAATTGGAGATTTGATATTGTTTTAGTATTATTTTATTTTAGGTTTTTTTGGGTTTAGTTTATTATAGGTTTTAGTATTATTTTATTTAGGTTTTTTTGGATTCAAGTATTTTCATGTTTTATTCTTGGTAACTTGTTATTAGGGTTTAGGATTGCCAATAAATAGGCTTTTATGTAATGTATTGACCAATGTTATAAAAACCGGACCGGTGAGCAAATCGGAAAATGAATTGGGTGGATGGGCCATTGGTTCAATCGTCAGGTAGAACCGTGACGTCATAGTTATTTTATGAATATATTAAAATTATTTAATAATTATATAAATATAAATATAAATATAAATATAAATATATTTATTAATTATAAAATATATTAAGTAGACATGATGTTTGAAAAAAATGTAATAAAGATATAAATAATGCACACAATAAATAAAATATATGGTACATTTATCAACAAGGAGTATTGTGGTTTTATGGAAAGTACTCAAACATCTTGCTTGAGATCTTGTATTCAAAACTTGGAGCTTGTTTTTTGCAGAAGCAAGCGCCAGTTTCCAATCCGCTGGTTCGATTGAACTGGTACTGGGTCATCTGGTTTGACTAGTTCAATTAAAGGAGGCTGGTTTTCGAAGTGAAACGGGTTAAAGGGTATGTTTGGACTGGAACCTAGACTGGTTGATGGGTCAACTGGTCGAATCGGCCGGTCCGGTCTGGTTTATAAAACATAGGGGTGTTGACTATGAGTGTTGTATCTCTTCTTTCATATATCTCTATTCTCTCTCTCATTCTTAAATCGTCTTTCTTTATGTTCTGCTATCTTATCTCATTGTTTTCCTATATTCTATCTTCTCTCTTTCATTGTTTTCATATGTATCTTGTAATTATATAAAAAAATCTTCATATCATTTTGCTCATTACAAGTTCAAAGAGATCTGTTGAAAGTCGTGCTACATCAATTTGGTATCAAAACCAAAGATCCTTTGATTAAGAATCTTCTCAATGGTGAAGATTGGCAAAACTCGAGATCGAGTTTTCTGCAACAAAAGGTGATTGATTTAGCCACGCACAAGAAATGACAAGATTTCTGGTAGTTTTAATTGATTAATATTATGAAAAGTTTTTAGATATGTTTTTTTTTATAGATATTGTTGCTGTATTTTCTTCCTTTTAGGACTTGTCAGTGGCTTTGGTGATAGGATTTAAGTTCAACTAGGTATCTATGTTGGGTAGGAAGGGTTTTTTAACAAGGTTTCTATGAGTTATTGGATTTTTCTTGAGCTGTATAGGCTATATTGCTGTAAAACAATTGCGGGTTTACAATTTTGATCTCCCACAGATAAACAAAGTTCAGATTTGATTTGATTGTGGGTTTACAATCTTCTTTACCATTATCTATTTCTTTTCTTAGGTTGATACTCTCTTCTCCTCTCTATCTCTCTCTTCTTTATCTCCGGCTCTCTTCATTACTCTTCATCTCATCTTTTTCTCTCACATCTTCTCTCTCATTTATTTCTAATTTTTTCTCTCATCTCTTCTACTTGATTCCTCTGACTTTCTTGCTATCTCCTCATTTCTCCTTTATGTTATTTTCTCATCTAATCTCGTTAGTGTCGTCCTCCCATATTATGTTCTCTCTCTCTCTCTCTCTCATAATATTAAAAAAAAAACCCACAAATAATTGTATCATTTTGTCCATAACATACTTGAAGAACTCGTCATGAAGGTCATGCTACATCATAACATTTCTAGGGTTCTTGATCCTACAGACTTGTTTGGTTTTATTAGTTGTTTTGATCCGAAAGGATGCCAATGAAGAAAAGGTGATTAAGAAGACAGACTAGATCTAGAGAAAGCACTTCAAGAACAGAGTTTGCTCTACTACTTCAATGCTGTTTTTTGATTTGTGACTTGTTGAATAAAGAATGCAAAGGATGGGCAGGTACAATTCATGAGACCTCTAGAGAATGTTGTTTCTCTGAGAAGTTGATGAAAGAAAATCTCTTTTGTTCTTAGGGTTCCCACATTTAAATGGGTTCTAGAATTCATCAAAAGTGGATGGATAAAATACAATTAGTGATGGGGATTTAATGCTGCCACCAAACTAGCGGAGCAGGATAATGCACACTAAAACTGGTTTTCACCTTCCCAAACAGCTCCCTCCCTCCCTCCCTCCCTCCCTCCCTGCCCAACTTCCTTCTGTTTCTTTTTTCTTTTTCTTTCTCGATGCATAAAAAAAAAAAAAAAAATTATTACTATTCATAATTAAAAATATTAAAAAATTAATATACATAATATTTTAATCAAACAAACTCTACACAATTTTTGGGGCTGAATTGACCCTTTAGTACCGTGAGAGGGAAAAAAAAAAAGAACTACATATATGAAATTACTAAGTTGGACGGAAATATTGGGCTCATGGGGGCCCACCACGGGTTCCTTTTTGATAATCTGAACCGTTTAATACGTAGAACTCGTTAAGAACTATATTCTTGTAAAAAATCACGTTGATCAGAAATCGCTAACTATATGATCAAATCAGTTTTGTATAAAAAATGAATGGTATTATAGTTAACAGTTAACAAAGAAAACTAACAAGATCAGATAGCTATTGATATCCAACAAACGTGATTTTTTACAAATATATAGTACTCGACGAGTTCTATACATTGAACGGTTCCGATTAGCAAAACGGGACCTGTGGTGGCCCTCACGGGCCGAACAACACCGTCCAATTCAAACCCAAAAAGTAGACAATCATTTCCCATCTCATACCAACCCACTAGCCTGCCCAATATGTACGGCCGAATCTACTAACTTCTCCTACACATTTTTTTATATAAGTTTTTAATACACATTTTTTCGTATAAAGTCAAAAAATTAACCCAAACACCCATATTTTTTTTCTCAATTTTTTAGTCAAAAAAGACAAAAGGTATACTTATTTAGGATACCTCAAACGAGCTCTAAGAAAATTATCAATAAAATGAAAAGAACCAAAAGTATAATTATAAATGAATTTTTTATATTCAAAAATAATTTTTTTAGAAAATTAGATTATAATATAACTTTGAGCCTCAAAGAGGCAATACTAAAAATCAGGTTGACTGGACATTAGAATCCTTTGATTGAGAATCATATTTGTCTGAAAAATAATTAACGAACTATTTTAAAAGTTATGTAATTTGTTAATTATTTTTAAAATAAATATAATATTGATGGAGTGACTCTTGATATCGGATCAACGCTATTGTTAGCATGTATAATCTTTTCAGAAATCTTACAAAATAAAGAATTTGAATTATAAAAAGAATCTAAAATGCATTCGTAGCGAGTTTAGATTGTTCATTTGAATATCTTAACCAATAAAAAAAAAAAGGTAAAAAAGACTTTGAACTACTCTAAAAGTTCAAATAATAAAACTTATAAGTTAAGATTGCATTTACATAGGATTTCTTGACTGGACATTAGAATCCTTTGATTGAGAATCATATTTGTCTGAAAAATAATTAATGAACTATTTTAAAAGTTATGCAATTTGTTAATTATTTTTAAAATAAATATAATATTGATGGAGTGGCTCTTGATATCGGATCGACGCTATTGTTAGCATGCATAATCTTTTCAGAAATCTTACAAAATAAAGAATTTGAATTATAAAAAGAATCTAAAATGCATTCGTAGCGAGTTTAGATTGTTCATTTGAATATCTTAACCAATAAAAAAAAAAAGGTAAAAAAGACTTTGAACTACTCTAAAAGTTCAAATAATAAAACTTATAAGTTAAGATTGCATTTACATAGGATTTCTTAGTATGGCCTCGTTTGGTGTAGCTGTTAAAACAGCTTATAGATTATAGCTTAACAGATTATAGATTATAACTTTAATCAGAAGTTGTTAATCTGTTTGGTGTAACTGTTGGATTATAGATTTAAGTTGCTGAGTAGTGTTTGTTAAATAAGCTGTGAAATAGCTTTTTCAATTAATTTTTATTTTTTGTTTGTCTACATTTCTCATAAAAAATAATAATAATAATCTATAGTCCATTTGAGTCTTTTTCTATTTTTAAAAAAATAAAAAATAAAAAAATTTAAGAGTATAACCATAAATTAACATGTCCACAGTAGAAGCTGATAATCAGAAGCAAGGGGTGAGCAGCTTCTCAGAATCAGCTTTTTTGAGTTAAAATAAGCTGTTAGAATCAGAAGCTGTTTGAAATAAGTTTAACCAAACAGTCCAAAATAACTTTTTCAAAGCTAAAAGCCATAAATTGGCTCTGAGAAGCTTAAACAAACACCCCTATATAAGATACTGCACATGATTGTTTTACCAAATAAGGCCATGAAGGTGTACATTCCACCAATTAAAAAAATAAATAAAAACAAAAAATGTTGGCAATTGGACAGAGTAGTTGCCGGCAATGGTAAAGAAAATAAATAATCAAATAAAAAGCCATATATCTATATAAAAATTCTAGAATATTCTTTAAAAAAAAAAAGAGTAAATTCTTATCGTAATTTTAAAATTACATGTTAGAAGGTTTTAATTACATAACAAATATTTTTTTTAATAATAATTTATCAAATAATAATATTATAAATATATTTTAATTGAAAAGTTAAATCCTTTTTTGACAAGTTACTTTTTAAAAAAAAATTTAAAAAGTTGTTACAAAAATAAAAAAGCTAACAACTTATATTAAAAGGTCAAAAATTCATTCTAAATGTGCTAATTTTTTTATATCATATTTTAAATAAAATATTAAAAAGCTTACTAAAAAAATCTGTTCCAAACGAGACCTAATTTTGTTATTATAGAAGAGGAGAATTATGAATTTTATTATTTTAAAAGTAATTTATCCAAAATTATATTATCTCCTATATATATATATATATATGTATGTCAATAAGAAATTGTAGAAAGAATCATCCGGAAGCGGAGGCGGAGGTGCGGGGGAAGGCAGGGAAGAAGAGGGGCAAAGTGTACACAAGTGGAGTTGGGTGGGGATACGTGGTGTGCTTCTTCTCGCTAAACACTCCCCCCATCCAATCCAACCATGTCTTTCTCTCTCCTCTCTCCTGTTTCTCATTCCTCCTCCCTCTCCACCATCCTTGCTTCTCCTCACATTTTCTCGCTCCTCTCACCATCGCCTTCTTCTACATCTCCTATTAAGGTCCGCAATTCTCGACGCCATCACCATGTCACTGCTACACTTTTCTCCTCCAATTACTTCACGCCCATGTCGATTGGCGCCGCCGCCGCCCTTCGCCGTCTTTCCTCATCCTCCTCTTCCTCGTCCTTTTCTAGCTTTAATGGCCGAAGCGAATTGCAGAGCGACAGCGAAGAGGACATCGACGCCGACGCCGACGGCGAAGAACCACATGATGATGCAGAATATATAGTAGACAAGGACGATAGAATTAACTCTGCCGGCTTGCCCGAAAGATGGGATGTTTTGGGTCTCGGCCAAGCTATGGTAACTCTCTCTCTATTTTCTCCCCTTCCTTTTTTTTTTTTTAAACCTAACAAGCGAATTACCACCCTATTCGGCCACCGCCCAAAAATTAGAAACAAATTAAAAATTTGTGCTTTTTTTTTTATTGGAAAAAAATTGTGCTTACAAATTCGATTTTTCTTTTATTTTTTTTGTTAAATTAAGTTTCATTTCTTTTTGCCTGATTGGAGGGGGTATGGACATAACGACATTCTTCATACTGACTTGAAATTTTCTTTCCTTTTGTTTTTTTTGGTAAATAAAGTTTCTTTCTCTTTCCATACATTGCTGTTAACAAGATCATTACTTTGAGTTCTATAGCATCAGTGGGCAAACTTTCTGTTTTGTTGAGTTTTCCAGGAAGCTAGTTTTCTTGTCTTATTAATTGTTCTCTAACTCTTGAAGCTCTTCAAAGTTTTCATTTAAAGATTATTTTCTGGGAAAGCATCAACTGTTTTCATTTTGTTTTGCTTATTGCTCATAGGTAAGTTGCATGAGACCCTGATATGGAAGAAGCATGAGCAGTTAACAATTTTATGTGCATTCTTGGGGAAAAAAAGCATGACAAAGCTTCAAAAAAAGGTTCACGCGAAATGGTTTGTATAGTTTATATAATACTGGAATACATAGAATAGATACATACTATATGATTTTCAATTCAAACTATTATTTTTCCCTAATGCAAGGTGTTTTCACATATATCATTCAAACGAATTCAACTTACTACAATTTTGGTAGAAAATATCATTCTTTTAAATCGTTGAAAAGTATCTAGATATGCGTTGTGATTTGTGAATTGTGAATTGTTTATTGTATTCCAGTATGTTTAAAGTCCCCCCCTGTTTTCTCAATGGCAGGTAGATTTCTCTGGGGTGGTTGATGACAAATTCTTAGATAGATTGGGGTTAGAAAAGGGTACAAGAAAGCTTGTGAATCATGAGGAGAGGGGTAGAGTATTGCGGGCAATGGATGGTTGCAGCTACAAGGCTGCTGCCGGTGGATCTCTTTCTAACAGCCTTGTGGCCTTGGCTAGACTTGGTGCTCGCCACGTTGGCGGCCCTCCCTTGAATGTAGCTATGGCAGGCAGTGTTGGCAGCGACCCACTCGGTGGATTTTACAGGTAGGACTATTTGTTTGTTCAAATATTTTACTTCATATACATATTATGTAAGCATACATTTGGTTTTCTCTCTCTATTTCTATTCGAATCGAATTTAGAATGCTTTTGTTTCTGGTGATGTAATCATGTCTATTTCAGTTGTGGAAGACATTGAATAGAATTCAGGGGGCCTAATTAGTTACCTTTCCTACAATGCCTTGCCTTCATTGTAGCCTGATATCTAAACTCCTAAATAATTATGCAGGGCAAAACTGCGTCGGGCAAATGTGAATTTTCTATCTCCTCCGGTAAAGAATGGGACAACTGGGACTGTTATAGTTCTCACTACTCCAGATGCCCAGCGTACAATGCTTGCATATCAGGTCTAATTTGGTTTTATGTTGTTTTTAATGTCATTCATTTTAGCACATTGTTGGTTTGTTATCAAATGCAGACATTGTTTGAGCTCCAGTTTTTTTCAATATGAGAATATTTGCAACAAATGATTTAATATAAATTTCCAGCTATTATGTACCTCTGTTTTGTTTGCCTCAGAAGTTTTTAATAACTCATTATCCATATATTGGGATTTGGGAGTTGTGTATATGGATTGCTTAAGGCAATTACCTCTGGCTGTGAGCCTGAATCTGCAATGTTAAACCCTTGCAGTGATACAGCAGTTGAACAAAGGTGATACTGTGGCACGAGTACTTAATTAAAAAAGAAAATAATGATGCTATACTGATCACATTTTCTTATCATATTTTGTCAATTAATGTGTTTCTATTGCATTGGTGATCGACATTAGTGATGAGACCTATTAAACCAATACAATTATGATGCATGAGATGGTAAATAACTATTGGTGCACAAATGAGGACATCATAACATTATTGGGGAAAAAAAAAAAAATACTGGTATAAATTTGCATTTGCGGTACTTGATTTTTGACATAGTAGTAGAATGGGTATGCTTGTGTGTTAATGTTTATTAAAGGTGCCGGGAAGACTTCAGAATAAGTTTATTGGTCTAAAAATTTTCAGCACCATTTCCAAAAAATAAAAAAAATAAAAAAAATTCACAGTATTGGGAATTCATCTACATTTTGTGCTTAGAAACTTTGTGCCAGGAGATTTGCAAGGTTGAAAGTAAGTGGTTAGAAACTTAGAACTTGATATCTTGCTTTATATATCATTGGAAATTACTATTTTACATCCAAGGTACTTTGAATATGTAGTTCAAGTTTCCTCATGAGTTCTTTATGGGGTAGCATTACATTTATACATTGCTGTTAACAAGATCATTACTTTGAGTTCTATAGCATCAGTGGGCAAACTTACTGTTTTGTTGAGTTTTCCAGGAAGCTAGTTTTCTTGTCTTATTAATTGTTCTCTAACTCTTGAAGCTCTTCAAAGTTTTCATTTAAAGATTATTTTCTGGGAAAGCATCAACTGTTTTCATTTTGTTTTGCTTATTGCTCATAGGTAAGTTGCATGAGACCCTGATATGCTTTATCTTTGTGATGCCAGGGTACATCTTCATCTGTTAACTATGATCCTTGCTTGGCAAGCATAATTTCCAAAACGAATATATTAGTTGTCGAAGGGTATTTATTTGAGTTTCCTGATACAATCAAAACAATTACAAAAGCATGTGAGGATGCCCACAGGAGTGGTGCACTGGTTGCTATTACAGCATCGGATGTCTCCTGCATCGATAGACACTATGATGATTTCTGGTAAAACTTCAACTGACTGGCTTTCTTATATTATTGTTATGTTCTCTTTCATGGGTGGACATTTGAATATCAAGGTGGTTGTGTTAAAGATTCTGAATTGGTGATCGACATTAGTGATGAGACCTATTAAACCAATACAATTATGATGCATGAGATGGTAAATAACTATTGGTGCGCAAATGTGGACATCATAACATTATTGGGGAAAAAAAAAAAAATACTGGTATAAATTTGCATTTGCGGTACTTGATTTTTGACATAGTAGTAGAATGGGTATGCTTGTGTGTTAATGTTTATTAAAGGTGCCGGGAAGACTTCAGAATAAGTTTATTGGTCTAAAAATTTTCAGCACCATTTCCAAAAAATAAAAAAAATAAAAAAAATTCACAGTATTGGGAATTCATCTACATTTTGTGCTTAGAAACTTTGTGCCAGGAGATTTGCAAGGTTGAAAGTAAGTGGTTAGAAACTTAGAACTTGATATCTTGCTTTATATATCATTGGAAATTACTATTTTACATCCAAGGTACTTTGAATATGTAGTTCAAGTTTCCTCATGAGTTCTTTATGGGATAGCATTACATTTATACATTGCTGTTAACAAGATCATTACTTTGAGTTCTATAGCATCAGTGGGCAAACTTACTGTTTTGTTGAGTTTTCCAGGAAGCTAGTTTTCTTGTCTTATTAATTGTTCTCTAACTCTTGAAGCTCTTCAAAGTTTTCATTTAAAGATTATTTTCTGGGAAAGCATCAACTGTTTTCATTTTGTTTTGCTTATTGCTCATAGGTAAGTTGCATGAGACCCTGATATGCTTTATCTTTGTGATGCCAGGGTACATCTTCATCTGTTAACTATGATCCTTGTTTGGCAAGCATAATTTCCAAAACGAATATATTAGTTGTCGAAGGGTATTTATTTGAGTTTCCTGATACAATCAAAACAATTACAAAAGCATGTGAGGATGCCCACAGGAGTGGTGCACTGGTTGCTATTACAGCATCGGATGTCTCCTGCATCGATAGACACTATGATGATTTCTGGTAAAACTTCAACCGACTGGCTTTCTTATATTATTGTTATGTTCTCTTTCATGGGTGGACATTTGAATATTAAGGTGGTTATGTTAAAGATTCTCGTAATGTGAATTTGCACAAGCCCTTTATGTTACATTGGAATAACAAGGACTGAGGGTGGGCATAGCATCAATTGGTTCATATTTAGATATAAACTACAGCGGTCAATCCTTTAAACAACTTTCTCTTAACTTTAAATAGTCTTCCCTCAAGTAACAGATGTAGACATCTGCTATACCACCACATGTTATAGACATGGAGGTAGATAAAATATTAACTCTATTGAATTAAAAGCTTTACATGACTTTATATAGATTTTAGAGACTTCCTAAACTAACTAGAACTAAAAAAAAGAAACTCCTATAATATCTTAGACATTCAAAAACTAATTTAAGACCAAATAAGAAATATAAATAAAACTCAATTAAATAACTTGACCCCCATGGGCGACTCTTATAACCCATGACAACAATAATGAAAATTACCAAGATACCCTTGACCTGAAAATTATAGAAAACATAAAAATAATCATAAAATATGACTCTAATAATACTATAAACATTATTATAAAAAATTCCTATCAGGGTCTCTTTTAAATCATGCCAATGTCCAATTATCATCCATTCTTTGAATTTAGCCTTCCTTGAGCTTCTTACATTATGCATCACAGAGTCTAGGTTTGCCGAAGTTTTGGAGTATATTGTGAGACTTTGTGGATATAGTGGTTTAGAGGCTAGAGATGGAGGATTCACCATGGCACTGTGACTTGTGCAGTCACTAAAAGAGAGACCTTGCTACTAAACCCTATTTTGGAGATGCTCACTATTAAATGCATAATCCTTATGGTCTAACAAATTTTTGACAAGCTCCCAAAAAATGCGACCGATGCAAACAGATAGATTGAGTTTTGTACTTTGTGCTCTCTACTCTTTCTCTCTCGGTTCTTAGGAAGCACGGATACGTATACGATACGATACAGATATGGCGATACGACAAAACCTAAAAAAGTAAAATACAGATATGGCTAAGATACGTTTATAAAAAATATATTTAAAAAAAAATTATTGGTACACATAAACTCAAGAATGTTTTTTTTTTTTTTTTTTTTGTGTGGATAAATCACAAACTCAAGAATGTTGAGAGACAACATTATAATTTTGTAATGCAAGATACTAACCTTCTAAAATTAGGTATTAATTTAAGATAGTAACTTGTTTATTTTTAAAGTTTTCAATAGGTATTGCAAATATTTCATTTTAATATCAAGTTCAATATGTTTATATTACAATAATAGAATAATCCACAACTTGTTCATATGTTTTTCCCTTTGATACTAGTAAAAATATTGTATTCAAGTTTACTTGTTTATTTATTTATTAATTTTTAATTTTACTATTGCTATATTCCTTTGTTGATCCTTACTTTCTATGTAGCTATAGAGGACATGCATGAAACAATAAGAATACATCAATTTAACAAAATTTATTACTTTAACTCTTACTATGTTCTCCTTATCAAATAACTAAATAAAGTATTAGGAGTAATATGTGACTTAGTGTATCAAATACTTTAAAATTAAGTATCTAATATTCCAAAATTAATGACAAAATAATTAAGAAATATTGGATACTTTTAATTAATATCCGATATGCATCCGCGAGTATCCAAGGAGTATCGGTATCTTCCTTTTTGAAGTATCCGTGCTTCATAGTTTATGTTCTCACTTCTAAAGCTTTCTAAACAAAGTCATTGGTAAAGGATTTAAGAAGTGGGAATAGATTTTTGAGAGTCAATGATATGAGCTAATGGGCCTTGTTTGGTACAACTGTGAGAACAAAATATGAATAATAGGTTTTGAGCAGAAATTCTTGACATGTTTTATACAATGGTTGGATTATAGATTTAAGTTTTACAGAGTAGTGTTTGTCTAAATAAGTTGCAAAGTGTTTGTTGTGTAATTATCCATTTTGTCCTCATTAGCATTAAGAGGTTCAAGAGGAGGAGATATAAGGGGTGGGCTTCTTATATAGTAAGATGATGGTAATATTGAGAAAGAGGATGGATAATTAAGTATATTTTCAATTAAAAACAATTTCCCACTTAAGTGGAAAGCTGAGAAGCAACCCCTAGCAAGTTTTTTAAAATCACCTTATTTGGCCTCAAATAAGCTGAAATAAGCCAAGTTTAAGCTGTTGTACCATAAGCTACTTCAAACATGTTATTTCAGCTTAACTAAAACAAAGTTAAGAAGTTAAGCTGCAACAAACAGCCCTTATATTTTTCATTGATCATCAACTTCCCTCCTCTGGTTGTTTGCAGTTGAAGGGGCTCTGTGCCACCCATACCTAGCACCACTTCATGATATCAATGAGGAGCCTGTTTGCCCTAGGCCTTTCAGTTTTGATTTTGAGCAGCCATCATTCACTGAAGAGAATATCAAGGAGCTCATATGGCGGGAATCGGTAAGATTCAATCCTGAAGTCAACGACACTGTGCTTGTGAAAATTAAAATCGCTCTCCAGTTTTTTGGCCGTCCAGGCCTTCAGAAACAAGGGAGGGCGACCCACATTCTCCTGAGATATGCGCTGACTTACGCAATGTTTTCGACGGCAAACAAAATTCCTATTCCGACGGGGGAGGAGCAACTTATGGCCCTTATCTTCCCCAATTACAAAAACCTAAGGGAGGTTGGTTTGGAAGCCTCTGATTCCGAGCAAGTGGAAGAAGAAGTTGCCGAGAAGGTCGCCGAGGAGCCGAATCAGTCGGAGGTCGAGGTAGACGAGGCTTTAAACTTGGCCTTCGAAGAGGCCGGCCTCAATTCATCCAACCCTCCGTCCACCTCAAGCCGAGGGGATGCATCCTTTGAGGACATTTTTACAGACTTTGGAGACCTTCTCGGCGCCTATCCTAAAAATATGGCTAGGGAATCGCTCACGCAACTTGCCAGGAGAAAGAACGCCGAGAGGTTGGCTGCCCGAAGAAGAGCTGAGGCCGCCCAATCTGAAACTCCACCCGCCTCGATAGCTGAGTCGTCTTTTTTTGTTGTTACGGAAGAAACGGTTCATACCGAAATGACCGCAATGAAGCAAGAAGAACGAGTGGATGAGGCTGAGCATAGGGGGGAAAAGCGCCCCGCCGACCAAGAGGTCGTCCAGGGCAAGAACCAAAGTGACAAACAGCCGCGCGTTGAGGAATCAGACTTGGTTGTTCTGTTCACCATTCAACCAAAGATCAGGAATATGCCGATTGCCTCTAATGCGTCGGCTTTGAAGGACCCGGCTGTGGCCTCTAGCATGGCCTCCACAATTACCCTGCCGGTTGACAGGGCCGTATTTCGAGCGGAGCCAGACCTAATGCTGATTTCTTTAGCCGCTCAGTCGGCTTTATTGGTATATCATTTTCCTTATCTGCAGTCTTCCGACTAAATATATATATTTTTCTTATTTGTTTGCTGTAACTCCATTTCCTTGTTTTGTAGATGGTGGGCAAGATAGTCGAAATCGGCCGCTGGCAGGATGACGCCATAGAACAGATCGACTTCTTGAAAGCTGAAATTGACAATGAAAAGAACAAGTTTGCGATAGCTTCTCAAAGGGCCGATTCCGAGGCATCGTGGCGTGCGGAGGAACGTGTGAGAGCCGACTCCGAGGCCGAGCAAGCGAGGAATTCAGACCAATTAAGGCTTGCTGCCAAAGAGAGAGCAAGAGCGAGCGAGGATGCACTGAAGTTAGCCAAGGAGGTGATCACCAAGTGTAGACCGCTCGGAACTCCGCTCCATGCGTGAGGGCGCGAATCTTTTTTTCTTAGCTACTACAGTTCGGACTTGTGTCACGGTTCTGAATCTAATCTCAAGAGAAGATTGGCCCTCTACAACAAAACATCCGAATGAGAAGAATCCGCTAATTTTCTTCTAGTTTCCTCAT